TGGACAGCTCAAGAGCATGGATCAATTGGACAGCTGAAAAAAAGGTGCATCATTAGAAAATAATCCAAGATGTGAGCCGCGACTACAACTGGTTGAAAAGGCATAAAATTGTTATCCATGAAACTGAAACATGTGCTGAACTATTTGGCAAAAGGCATTCAAACTATTACCCATGAAATGTATACTAAATTATTACTGAGGTGGTAGATATATAGAAAATATCGCTAAAATAAAGTTACAAAACTAATACAATAAAGTTACAAAACTAATATATCTATTCATTTATTGAATACTTCATATGGCTAGAAACCTTGTTTTTAAACTTACAATAAAGTTACAAAACTAATACAATGAGAGTGGGGCATGAAAGCTCAGCACTAAGCTATGTCATCTTAAATGCCCTTTTAGTAGTGCAACAGGTTCACCTGCGGCTGAGTGTATGAGCGTAGGCTTCCTCTTCCTATGTTTTAGGCAGCCATTAAGTGTATGACCCAGAAAATCAAGGCATGATTTGTGGAGAAACGCAGTTCGAGCTGAGAAGAATCGTTTAAGAATTTAAGGAACGATGAATCTCTTAAGATTCCAATCACAGTAAGGAAACTTTGTTCAAATTCTTCCTCAAAATAACATTCTAATGATGCCTACACATGTAAGTAGCTTGTCCCACATATGCACTGATCAATGCTGTACACAGCATGGATCATGGATGTAAAAGCAACCTAAAAAGGGCGTACCTAGTGCAGAGAGCTCCCGCTCTGTGCGGGGTCTGGGGAAGGATGTAAAAGCAACATGTCTAAGAGATTTTATCAGAGAGAATAATTTGCCATATATTGCTTGTAGGATGAAATACAGGGAAAATGAGTTTGCATTAGACTTTATTCACTTATATGAACAGCTGAAACCTAATAGGAAACAGGTACCCCAAAGATGAAGGCATATGAAATTATGATATCAAAGTTATCAAAGGTAGATGAAGACAGCATCCAAGGGTAACACCATCAATGGCACCACAAATAGTATCAGAACAAATATAGATGAGACTGAACAGTGTGGACTGTGGAGCATACTAAGTAAATTCCGATGGCAACTACATAAGGTGTTCCAAACGCAATAAGAGCAGAATCCTGATGTTGAAATGCAGTATATAAGAACTCATCATCGCTAATGAGAACACATGTTGCATTTGCAGGGCATTTATCAAAATAAATTTTGGAACACAATATTTAGTAACCTATTCAACACTAAAAGTAAATGCAGGTATCTGTAGCAACAAATCCAGGTAAGTGCAAGTAATTTGTAGTGTAAATAATTTCTCTATGACATCAATTCTAATAAATTGAGAATAAAATAATTTTAATGCAAGTCCAGAGATAAAAAGAAGTTAGTGCACGAAATGGAATTATCTCACCTTGAATCAATAGCATGCTGCAGTCCCCCAGATTAAGAGCACCTGCAAGAAGGGCGCGAGCTTCTCTCACTTGTGGAGCAACTGCTCCTGGTATTGAATTGATTATGCCGTTGTAATTCAATCCAATCCCATTGAACTAACACAGAGAATAAGGACATGGTTGAGATGATGGCCCAAGAACATCAAGAACACGGGAATAGAATTACAAGATAGTTCCAAGAACTAAATCCTTCACTGGCTAGATGTGAGCAGCAGGACCACAGGGCAGCGAGAGGCCTTGGCCGACAAAGAACTTTTATATTGACGTGGTGAGAGTGTCTGCTGGCCATCTCAAATACAGAATCGCCGCAGATGGCGCGACGACGTTTGCATAACAATAGAGATGGGATTTGTAAAGGAAAAAGGAGGAAAAAAGAAAAAGATACCTTGTGCTCATTTTATCGAACACATTCACTGCAGATTCATGGAAGTGTAGACGCCGGTACTGAATTCGATGTCCGATGGCAACGCCGAGCACATGGGAGCAGGAGGAGGCATGGAGGCTGCAGATGCCCCGCCCGAGCCGGCACTGTTTTCTTCCCCATCGTCGCGCAGCGGGATCCATGCGGATCTGGTGCCGCGAGCGGCGAAGCGCCGGGATGGAGATAGCACGGTGCGGGCGGCGACCACAAACGACCGCTTTCGGCGTGGCGTCGCGTGAGGCCTGCATGCCGCCGCGGTCGAGGTCGAGCCACACCGCCTCGCGTTCACGCACCGCCGCAGAGCCCTGCTGGGATCGCGCGCCGGGTGCCGTGCTTTCGCCGCTGCGCTAGGTCCAAAGACGCGAACTAGGGACACCGGGCTTGCCAGCGCTGGGTCCGCCGCCCGAGAACGCAACGCCCACCTGTGCTGCCGCTTGAATGCTGCCGGCGCTGCCGACAACGGGGCGCCCGTTCGCGACGCCGCCACCAAGCTGCCGCCTGGACATGGCAGGCGAGGCGCCCCGCGCCCGAGGTTGGCCTCTTCGCGGCGGAGGGAGCCAGCGGGCTGGCCACGGGCATCGCGAGATGGCGCGCGCGCGCTGAGCGAGCGAAGTTGAGCTAGGCCGGCGCGCTGGAGGATAGTGAGCGCCGCCAGTCGCGCGGAAGGCCGAGGCCCGAGGCACGAGGCGCGGCGTAGCCACGAGCTTGGGGGAAAGCTCTGGAGAGGCTAGCTGCTGTGCCTGTTTCAGACGTCGGATCAAAATCGGATAGACCAAAAATCAAGAGTGACGTGGCCCAATGACGTGCTTCAATTTTGAAAATTCACATATACTCCAGTACATACGTATTCACACATATATATAGGATCGCAGTCCTTGTCGGCCAGTTCCGTTCTTATGAAGGGAATACACGATCGAGTACACGTCAATCAAGTGCCAGCGACAGCTGTGGTCGATGGACCGCTGGAGTACGCGAACCTAGAGGAAGAGGACTGGGGGAGAAGATGGTCAAGCTTGAGAGGGAATGGTTGGCAGCTCAAGCACGACAGTCGACAGGCACACTCACGCAGGCCGATCCTGTTTGGTTGGTTGCCAAGCAAGCTTGTCTGGCAATCTAGACCATCAATTTGAGTGTTTGATGGACAGGATCTATCGTCTGGCAGGCATTTGCCTATCATGGCACTTAATTAACTCGTGCATTGATTGGCAGTTAAATTAGTTCGCGGGTAGCTAGTGCAGGTTTAGTTTCCAAAATTTTGCAAAATTTTTCAAGATTCCCCGTCACATCGAATCTTTGGACGTATGCATGAAGCATTAAATATAAATAAAAATAAAACTAATTACACAGTTTAGACGAAATTCACGAGACGAATCTTTTAAGCCTAATTAGACTATGATTGGACACTAGTTGCCAAATAACAACGAAAGTGCTACAGTACCATTTCCCAAAAAAAATCGCCAACTAAACACAACCCTAGTATTAGCAGCTGAATTTCTATATTATTCTGTAGTATCCATGAAGTGATTCGTATACTTAGGACACCATCTCAAATTAAAAACAAAAAAACCATCCACCCAACTCAGCGGCCACGTTCGCTGGTCTGAAACTTAGCTGAAAAACACTGTTCCGGTTGGTTTATTGTGAGAGAAAAATACTGTTTGGCTGGTTTGGTGAACAGTAACTCGTGAGGGGGTCTAGCCGGCTGGCTGAACCAGTCAGACCAGCGAACACCACCAGCATTTCTATTCGTGGACCCAAATAAAAATCCGGTCAATCCTATCTCCTCGTTCTCTCTCCTATTTGGGGGTTCTCTCTTCCCAAACCTCTCCTCTCAACAAGCATGATCGGGCACTCTCGAGCAGGGCCGCAAGCACATCACAGCTGGGCGGGGCTCGAAGCGCTGCAAGGGACGTGACTAGCCGGGTGAGCAAGGCACGACTCAGGGGCTCGAGCGCGTAGGGGACGCGGTGGGCGGTGTGGGCGGCGGGCGCTTGAGAGGACTAGCCGTGACGAGCTCGTCCGACGCGTAGTGACACAACGTGAAGCCCAACGTGAGCGCTTAGAGCACGGCGGCGCAGGATGCAGCGGCGTCACGGGCGACGCTGCAAGGCAGTTATTAAACGCCAGACTGGCGTGGGCAATCAAGTGCGACAGCTTGGGTTCACGGCCAGGCGAAAGCGATGGGTGAGGACGCCATTGAGTAACACGGATGGGGATTGGTTTTCCCCCAATGCGAGAACGGTCGTTTCTTTGCTTCTTGGATCTTCTTAAGGCACTATTCGGTTGTTCAGGAAGGATTGACCCTGGACCATTTCAACTTGGAATGGTCCATGATCGTCTCCGGAACAACCGAATATAGTCTAAGATAGTGTTTTATTATTTCTTATTTTATTTGAGTACATATCACCAAAATGTTGATGCGGGGGCCTAATAAACATATGAAAACCGTTTTTTTCGGCTGTTCTAAAAAACCACGCTATTCCACTTGGTAATAAAATATTGTTTTAGTTTTCTAGGTATATAACTTTTACTATATATATAGATTATCATATATTTAAATATATAGAAAAAGTTATTTTTCTAAAAAAGACTAAATGACTTATAATTTGATACAAGGAAGTATAGTGAAATTTCTCTCAATCGAGCATCATCCATCACTCTTCGTCTGTCTTCACTCACTCTACCAGTTTTATCACTTTACTCTCACTCCCTTTCTTACATCCCTGGGTTCGATGCTGTAAAACCTTCGCTACCGCCAACGGCCAAACACAAACTCGTCTGTTGCGACACAGCTTAGTCCAGGTAAACATGTGGTTTATCTTCCACCATATTAGATATGTATGAATAGCTACATATTTAAGCTGGATCAATTTCAATCAATTTTCTATATAAAATTCATCTTCTATTGTACGTTATATTTAAATTGTCCATTATGACATTCTTATAACATCCTCTTGCCACGCCAGGGCACGTTTTCTTGCTTGTAAATGAATAAATAAAGAACGAAAGAACATTTGGAGCTATACTCCTGTCTAGCATATATCAAAGAACTCAAAATAGATTAAGACTAAGACTAAATTAATCAGTTAATTAAGCGACCACCGTCCGCTGTCTTGCTGCGACATGTCAGCTCAGCTGACGGAGAGCTGCGGGACGGCAAGGTGCGGGTGCGGCGACAACGGTGAGAGCGGCGGCAGGCTGCAGATGGCCCCCTTCAGCGACTCGTCCTCCCAGAAGTAGTCCGCCGCTCCGCTTGCCGCCACATCCATGCCATCCCAACCACAACCCGCTGCGGGGTCCTGAACCCGCTCCTTCTTCACCTCCCTGACCAAGCACCCGGCGTCCTGCTCCTGCGTCGACCTCGGCCTCTTGTTACCACCGGCCACGGTCACGCCGGGCTGAGCAGCAGCAGGCGCCGCCGCCCACCGTGCGGCGGTGCCGAACGCGACCTCGTTGGGGAAGTTGAGGATGGCCTTGGACCCGCGCAGGCGGAACGCGGCGCGGTCGTAGGCGCGCGCGGCCTCCACGGCGGTGTCGTAGGTGCCCAGCCACACGCGCGCGCCCATCCGCGCGGGGTCCCGAATCTCGGCCGCGTACTTGCCCCACGGCCGCTGCCGCACGCCGCGGTACCGCCGGAAGTCGTCCTCCTCGGGTTCCGCCGGGTAGCAGTAGTGCTGCTCCTGCTGATGAATCTGCATCGGCGCCGCCCACAGCTGCTGCTGCTGCTGCAGGGCGACCGCCGGCCTCGGCGGCAGCGAGACGGAAAGCGCTGGCAGCGGCCTGCTACGCCCCGGCGGCGAGGGCGATGGCGACTGGGACGACGCCGAGTCATCGGAGCTCATGGCGTCGTGGTGGTCGTCGAGGAGGTGGGCGCGGATGAGGTCGAGGTGCTCGCGCAACAAGGCCATGACGCGCGGTGGTCGAGTGGAGAACTGGAGATGTGCAGCGAGTGGAGGAGAGGCCTGCACGGCGTGTGCACTGCCACGATGTCGCACGCACGGTTTATATACGGAGGGGGCTCACCGTAGGGACCGTTGGGATAAGATGACATCAAGGTGGTTCCACGAGGCTTCCTGGTGCGACGCACGAAGCTGCAAAGGATGGACTAGTCGCGTACCGGTAGACCTGGGCGGTCGCCGTCCGACTCCTGAGGCAGATCGAGAACGCTCATCATTTTCTGTTAGAAAAAAAAACTTGAATAATATTTTATTCTACTTGTTTGGTTAAATATGGCTTAGCTTTGTGTTCAACTGTCCATGTGTCTCGACATGTAGTACTATTATATTATAGATCAACCAATTGTTTTTTTTGACCGAAAAAGACTGTAGGGGATCCCCACAGTACCCACCTTTTTAAATTAGATTAAAAGAGAGTATACATACTTACAACAAGTTTCTAACTGAAAGCAGCAAGCCAAACGCAGAAGGATGACCTAAGGTCCTCCTTACATCTAATAGACTGTAGAAGACATTGACTCTTGAAATTAGCTAACCATAAACTAAGACTCGGATTCCTTCTTTGAAAAACTTTATCATTACGAAGCTTCCACAATTCCCATGCCGCTATCAACGCTGCCTCCGTGAAGAAGGGAAGGTTATTAGTCGTTCTTGCTTGAGTCAATCTGTCATTAAGCTGCAATAAATCATCCCATTCAAAGTGGATAGCTGCCCAGCATTCCTGGGCAAAAGAGCACTCAAAAAATAGATGATCGATGGTCTCCTCAGCTCCACTGTCACACATGATGCAGAGAGTGTCATCCAGAATATTTAGATGTCTACGACGCAGCATCGACTTGGTGTTCAGACGATCAACCAAGATGAGCCAAGCAAAAAACTTGACACGTGGAGTGCATCGGGATTTCCACACTGCCTTGAAGATTGGGTGTGACTCCATGTTACTGAAGACATGAGAGTAAAAGCGCCTTGATGTGTACCTAGCCCCCCATGCAGGCACCCAAATGTCCTTAGCCTCTTCATTATATGGCAGCACCTGTAATTGAGCCTGGAGATCTTCTAGCTCCTGAAGAGCTTGCTGTGACAGAGGCAGGAAAAAAATACTATCAAGGTCTTCAGCTTGCATAATTTCCATGACAGAGGCATCATCATTCCTGGCAAACGAAGCAAGGCGTGGATACATTTGGGATAGAATTGAATCTGCCCAAAGATCATCCCAGAAGCAGACTGAGGAACCATTGCCCAACTCACACCTGGAAATTTGCCTAAAGATAGTGTTGAGCCGAAGGACATCCTTCCACCAAAAAGAGCCAATTTCTCTCGCAGCATGAGGTACTTTAGAAGTGTAGTACTTGTACCAGACAATCTGCACCCAGGGTATGTCTGCTTTATTGTAGAATTTGCTTAGGTGTTTTAGGAGCAACGCATCGTTCTGTAGGCGGAGGTTCAGGACACCTAATCCCCCCTTTTCTTTGGGTCTCATGACCACTGGCCAAGCAACTAAATTTCCTCCTTTCTTCTCTGCATCATTTCCACGCCAGAGGCATTGCTTCCTGGCTCTGTCAATGTTGTCGATCACACCTTTTGGGAGCTTGATGGTGCACATGGCATAGGTGGTGATAGGGGTGATGGCTGAATTTACCATTTCAAGTCGCCCGGAGTATGACAACCAGGTGGAGCATGCCGATAATCTTCTTTCAACTCTGTCCATCATTGGGGTAAGGTCTTCCATACGTGGCTTTGTTGTACCCATTGGCAGTCCCAGGTATGTAAATGGCATTGAGCCAACATCACAGCCAAATGTGTTGGCAAGCAGAGCTAGTTTGTCCTGTGAGATATTGATGGAGTACATGTGTGATTTTCTGTAGTTCACCTGTAGTCCAGTCGAAATGGAGAAGCTGTGCAGGAGTGATTTTAAGAAGAACAACTGCCTAGCATCAGCTTGGAGAAGCATCAATGTGTCATCAGCATATTGGACAATGGGAAACTCACTCATCGACTGAGGTATTGGCAATCTGAGCAAGCCTATCTCCATTGCTTGGTTGACAAGAATCTGTAGTAGTTCAGCTGCAAGAACAAATAAGAGAGGGGATAGTGGATCCCCTTGTCGAACTCCCCTTTTACATTTGAAAATTTTTCCTGGGACCCCGTTAAGCAAGACTGCAGAAGAACCAGAAGATAGAATTGCTTGGATCCAAGCTAGCCATTTCTCGGGGAAGCCCATATGTGACATAACCTGAATGATGGCTGAATGCTCCACTGTGTCGAATGCTTTCTCGAAGTCAAGTTTCAAAATGATTATTTCCCTCCTTGACTGGTGACACTGATGTATATATTCATAACTCCAAGCTAAACAATCCTGTATCGTGCGGGAACGGATAAAACCGTACTGATTGCTATGAACAATTCGTAAAATAACTGCTTGCAATCTGTCTGCCAGTATCTTGGTTATTATTTTGAGCGAAATGTTCATGAGTGATATGGGCGAAAAAGTCATTAACCGTTTCTGGGCTGTCTTTCTTGGGTACCAATGTGATGTAAGAGGTGTTGATAGACTCTAAATTGATACTTGCAGCATAGAAGTCTGCACATAGCGAATAGAAATCGCTCTTAACTAGCTGCCAACATTTTTTCAGAAAAGCCCGTTGAAACCATCCGGTCCCGGCGCCTTGTCATTGGGCATATGCTTGATCACCATGTCAATCTCCTCATGACAAATTGGCATAGTGAGCACATTCAGGCCGTCAATCTGCGTGATCGGACTTGTTAGATCGAAAAGCATGACCGGTTCGGATGTTGTCCCCATGCGGATTCTGAATGCACGATCCACAAGAGCCCCGCCTTTCTGCATGATCCTGAATCCAAACTCCTTGATCGTTCATAATCTGGGAGATGGCATTCCTTCAGTAGAGATGGTTGCCATACCATGGAAAAACTTGGTGCATTCATCTCCTAGTTTTATTCTGCTGATCGTGGTACCGATTCCTCCAATAGAGATTTTTGTAGTGAAGCCAGGTTTGGAGTTGCTTTTTGACGGCATTTCTAAGATTGATTTCTGGATTAAATAGGCCTCTTCTATCCTCCAGGCCATCCAGAAAACCTATGACACTGTTGCAGTTACTAATTAAGAGTCGAAGGTTGGATATATCCTTGCTCCAATGCTTCAATCTTGCTCTGAGTGCTTTGAATTTTGAGGAAATATTCCTTGCTACATCATTTTGTCTAGGGGTGCTCATCCAACAATCCATCACTGTTTCTTGGAAGTAATTCTGCTGTACCCAGAAATTTTCAAACCGAAACAAGCTCGCTTTGGGTATACTTGTGCTGACAATCACCTTGCAGGGTATGTGGTCTGAGGTGATCTTAGCTAGGGGGAGGACTTCTGTATTGGGGAAGTCAATGGTCCAATTTGCCGAAGTAAAGAACCAATCTAGCTGTTCTAGAAGCGGATCAGACTGCAAGATTACCTCCTGGTCTATTGCGATTATTGAGAGATCTGTAAAAATTGAAATCACCCAAAAAAATCCAGTTGTCGGAGTCATTGATATCATGATCACGGAACCAATTGATAAAATCAGAGCGTGCAGGTTCATCACAAGGCCCATAGACTGTGGTTAGCTTCCATGTCTCTCTATTATGCACTGAAGTGAAACCCACAGTGATGCCAAAACTTTGTTTATCAAGAACCGTTCCTGAAAGCACATTGCTGTTCCATAGGACAAGAATGCCTCCCGAGGCTCCCACCGATGGGATGAAATCAAAACAATCAAAACGCCGCGGAGCAAATTTTTTGATATACGAAATATCAAAAACCTCACGTTTCGTTTCTTGCAGACATATAACAGAGCTTGCGCTTTCCTCAATCTTATTCCGAACTGCATCCCACTTTTCTGACGCGTTAATTCCCCGAATGTTCCAACATAATATCTGCCAATTTCGTGTATTCATTGCATAACAAGTGGGTTGGATAAAACCACCTAATTATGACTAGCATAATCAGGTACAAAAGAATGAAGATGGATGCATAACAGAAAAGGTTCAAAGGCGAGAAAGCATTTGAGCATAAGCTCAACAACCAGAGAACATAAGTGTTCGTGAGCATGATCATCCCCAAAGACCACGATAGAAAAGAATTTGTAGGAAAAACGACATTGTCATATGAAAGGGAAAGATAAAAGACCATTTAACAGGATGATAGATATAGCAAAAGCATGTAGGCCTCTCCAAAGACTACAAGAAGGCTAGTTGGCGTGATCTTCATTGGGAACTTGGCCTATTGGCGCTTGCAAAGAACAAGATCTTCATGAGCTCGCTAGGAGCCACACCACGGTCGATACCCCAACCTTGCAGCACAAAAATGTCAACAGGAGCAACCTCTCCTGTTGATTCGTTAATCTGGACCACGGCTATTTTGCGTTTCTTCGATGGATTGGCGATAGTCCGGCAGGCGAATCCATCCAATTTAGCGGTCGCGTCTGAACTGCGTCTCACAATACTCAACCAAAGGTGTGGAAGCACTACTTTCAGATATAGTAGTTGGGAGAGCGAGGGTCTTCTTCTCATTAGCTGCCTTGCTCTTTTGGCCCTGAGTGAGTGATGGGTCTGGGCCTGATTTGCTCGATTGAAATTCAAACCGAGGTGGGGGCCCAAAAGGATCACAGGACCAGAGAGGAACAACAGTTGCTCTAGCATTTGCTTCACGTCTGCTCTTAACTACTGCAGGCCGAGCTGGAGAGCTAGCACATCCAACTGGCTTCCATGGGACGATCTCCATACCGATAATGTGCAGAGGGGGCTGGTTGGAGGAGGCAGATTGCATTGCATTTCTATCAATGATAATGGGAGCAGATGAAGTTGAACCTCGGACAAAAACGTCATCTGGTAAATCCTTCCTCTTGAATATCAAAGCATTGGCACAACATTGTTGGGCAGCTGCAAAGCGGGCACGTTCTTCC